CCCTCGGCGCGGCTACCCGGCTGGGAGGGCCGGATCCAAGGCCAGCCGGCGCCACTCGGCCCGCTGGGAGCTGCGAAGAACAGACAAAAGTTGAATGACTGCCCCATAGTTGCTGCTTTGTCCACACTGGGGTCCCGCTCAGGGATGAAGAACTGGTTTGTGAATGGCTCTGGGAAAAGTAAACCAATGTTCCAAGCAGAAGTCTTATGCCAGACCTGAAAGGTGTGTGTGAGTGTGCTCTGTCTACCTGGAAATGCAACATGCTTTAGAGTGTGTGTGTGTGTGTGTGTGTTGGTCTCACATTCAGGTCTCCGTTCTTGAGAATAAGAACATTCAGATATTTTCCTCTAAGTTTTACATCTGGATCATCGGTACAGGGCTTCAAGTGGATTAAAGGCAGTGGCCATCTCTTCCTAAAGTCAGGACTTGTGAGTATGCTTGGCCATTGCATTTACTTCTATAACTAGAATGTGAAGTTTTGATGTGATGGCCATTGTACGAAAAAACTCTATATGGGACTATCTTGTGTGTTCAGATCTTTGTCAAATGCTTTTGATAGACGTCTAAGTAACAAAACAAAGAATAGCCTAGAGAAAAGAAATATCTTGCTCATGCTCACTGTCTCTGTCCCGTCTATGAGAGTTGCAAGCAAGACTTTGATAAAGTGACAGGACAGCAGTATGCGATGTGGATTGCGGATGATGTGCCACAACTAGAGACCTGTGTTGAGCATGCTGCAAAGAAAGTGGCATGTGGCACTCTGTCTGTCCAAGTTTTCAAAGACAAGCCTGGTACACTGCATAATACAGCCTTACTGAAGCAGCACTTTCCAACATTATCAGAACCTATTTGTGATCATTAGCCAACCTCTGCTAAAGGGAAAATGGCATCCATTTACTATGACACATTCACCTGAATATCCAAGATCAATAACACAATTTTATCTGCCATCATATTAGCACAGAACAGCAAATTAATCCATGCTATCCAGTATTGTACAGAGCATCAAATTCTCCCAAGGAGACCGAACATTTTCACAGAAGGCTTACCAGTCTGCCTGTCTGTCTATCTCTGTCTCTATCTCTATCTCTGTCTCTCTCTATCTCTTTGTGTAACCCTAGCCAGCCATCTCTTATTTTCTTATGGCACCTAATCCTTATTTTGCTCTAATTTGGTATGATAATAAACAGCAACAAGTATTATATAATTTTGATATCTAAAAATGCCATGAACATGTTTTAGAACTTGTTTTCTTGATTAGATTTTTAAGCCCTTTGAGAATTGAGCAAATATCCTACTCCAGTCCCATTGCCAGTCTGTTGATCCAACCTTCATGGAGTGTCTTCTATGTAAAAGGCAATCAGGATGCAACCATAGTCTCCCTTCAGGAACTCACTTTCTTTCTAGGGAATAGTGACATCTTTTTTTTTTTTCTCATTGAATTTATTGGTACATATTAGGTATACAGTACAGTTACATTCATCATTGGGGTCTTGTATCTTTACATGACAGGTCTTGGTTCTCATGTTTTCCCCCCTTGTCCCTGCCCTCGCTTCATCCCCTCCTCCTCTCCCCATTTACAAACACTTTATTTCCATTTTTTCATTTTCTCCTATTTTTTTCTTTTCCCTTATTTCCTTTCCCCTACCCTTCCCACTTCCCCTACACCTTTAGCCCTTTTCTTCCTATTTCAGTAGTGACGTCTTTTGAACTGCTGTGTGGCCAGCATGCTACATTGCATTATCAATAATCTCTATATAAGCCCTGCAAAATACTCATTGCTATTTCTATTTGGTAGAGAAAGTACTAAAGCTCATTTGGTTACTTGGCCACATTCAAACAGGCAGTAAAAGTAAAAACTTTTTAAAACCTGTGATCTTTTCACTGTTTATATGACCTTTCCCTCTGAGTTGGTCCAGAGGAGAAATTCATTAAATATATTTTTAATTTAAAATGTTGGGGTAAAAAGGTTATTATGAGTTTACTACATGTAAGAGATCCTACAAGCATTACTGAATTCATGGCAGGGCACATTTAAATAAGATACTAAAACATTGCTTTATGGTTCACTAACTATATTTTTTATTGAAAAAATACTGAACAAGTGGAAAAGAAGCACTGAAAGTTACAGTGAGGAGGTGTGTACCCATCCATATTTTCGTATCATATACTTGCCAAGTATCTATATATTACAGGTGTTGTGCTAGTAGTGTTAGAGGATATGATTAAGAACAAGATAAAAAAAAAAACTTTCTGCTCCAACAGATCCTACAGCTTAAGGAAGAGGCAAGAAGTTAAGCAAATTATCTTAAAAAGAATAGACTTTATAGGTTAAACTTCTAGTAAGTTCTATGGAAAAGTATGGGAACTATGAGAATAAGTAATAAAGAAACCTGATCATGTCTTGAGGTCAAAGAGTGGCCTAAAAAGTGCCCTTTAAGTGGAAATTTGATGAGTAGAAGTTACTTAAATTTGCAGAAGGGAAACTAGTGTTCCAACATAAGAAATCACTCATTTCTTTCTTCTTTCATTTATTTCATTATTCATGCATCTTTTCTGTGTGCATTATATATAGCCAACACAGCTCTAAATGCAAAATTTCAGTAGTAAATAGAAAGACAAAGCATGCATTTTTGTAGCCAAGTTTGTAATTAAGAGAAGACAATGCAGGAAGTAATGTATTAAATATGCCATACGGAAAAAATGGAGAATATTAGAAAATTAAGATACAATAGGGCCAGGGATTTAGCTCAGTGTTGCTGCTGCCTGTCTGGCAAGAGCAAAGTCCTGAGTTCAAGTCCTGGTACCCCAAAGGAAGATACAATCAATATGTGCAAATATCTTGAGTCTGTAGTGTTAGGGATTGAAAGAAAAACAATGCAACTGGGGCTTGGAGGTAGGACAGTATGATGAGACCACCTTCAGATGTAGGCAAAGTCCAGATCATGTAGGGTCTGCACCATGTGCTAAGGACCGCATAATTTAGCTAAAAAAATAAATACATAAATAAAAATTATTCAGAAATTAAAATAAGGAAACTAGTCATTAATTTATAATTCAATGAAAAAAGTAATCTATTTAATTTATTATGTAGCACTTTCAGAAGCACATATGATATCCAGAGCAAGATACATTTAAATTAAAAATCATTCCCTTCCATTAATACATAAATTCAATGGGGAAAAGATAATACTTGCAAGCAACTAAACCATCCAAGCATATATTAGTGTTTAATCCATCAGTGGGATGTAGAAAATAAATTTTAAATCAGTGATTTAAAAGCTGAAAATAATACATTAATCTTCATTCAATACTCATCCTATAAATGTGGTTTCATAAAGAGTTCTGAGTGTCTAGTGTATTTTTCATTTTCTAATCTCAATTGATCTCAGCTAATAAGGAGGCTGTTGTTCAAAAAGAATGATCTTGTTCTGGATGATTTACCATGGTTAAGATGGCAAAGGAAATTGGAAATTTATAGATCTGTTAAAAAGACCTCGATGTCAGGCTAATTGATACATTTTGGCCACCCCTTGAAATTGCAACCATTTTTAGAATGCCAAATGAGCTCACTAGAGCAACACAAGAAGAATTACCCTTTAAACATACTGCAGAATAATCATCAAATAGATATTTATTAACCAGCTCAACAAGCATGTACGCATTCTTTTCATCAGCAGTTCTTTTGTTTCTTAGAACCAAATACTGATCATCTGTATACTAAGTTACAGTAATGAGAACAAAAGTAGACATTATAAAAATAACAATTTTACAAAAATAAAAATTTGATTGCCTTAATTCAATAATGAAAACATATGGTGTCTTTGGCTGAGTTTTCCCTGCCATGCTCATCCCTGATCAGAAAGAAGTTTAAAAATCTAAGGTTTATCCACAGCAGACTGAAATGCTTCCTACACCATTTAATGGATTTAAAATGAGATGTAGCCTCCTACTTCAGTGTCACTCTTAATGTTCAACCTACACAAAGCTGAGTTTCATGCCTTCCTTTACCACTAGAATTTCATTATACTTGACTATAATCACATGAGATTTGTACTTAATCAAGAAACACACAACTTCTCCCCAGTCCTGTTCCCTTCTTCCTCAATTAATAACCTCTAGCTTCCTTTCGCTCAAACCAAAAACTCTTCCATGACCCATTTGCAATCCATCGTCAAATTCCGGGATGCTGGCTGATACAGAAAGCTGACTACTTGCCACTATTTCTAAAACTGTTAGCACTGTGCTTTGAGCCACAGTCACCTCTTAGTAGATTATCCCAGTAGATTTTTAAATGAACTTTATATAAATCCTTTTACCTTGCCACGGTCCCCCTAGAATGGGTGCAGATCAAAACCTTCTGATGACTTGCCATTTCTCTCTTATTAAAAGCCATGGACTTCACAAGTGTCCTCTACCTCTGCACGAAGTAGTACCCATCCCCTACCTCAGTTCAACGATACCTCCTTGTCCACTCCCCGACCACTCTCCACTAGCGAGCACTGTGGTCTCCTCACTGTGGCTGGAACACACCAGGCACACTCTCATGGTAGTCTTTGTCCAGGCTGCTTCTCTGCCTGGAGACCGGCCTCTAGATATCCATTTTATTCATATCATCACCTTTTGTAGATCTTTACTTTAGCTCCTTATCCCCTCATATTTAAAATCACCACCCTACCCTCTCACACCCTAATATCTACAGAACTGCCATCCCCTTTCCAGAGTTACTTCTCTCCATAGCACTTTCCACCATCTATTTCAGGCTGCTTTTCTTTCCTTTTTTCCTGTCCTGTTCTCACCTAGAACACTCCCCGTGAGAGCAGAAATTATTCTTTGTTTTGCTAGCCAGTGTGCTCCCAGTTCCCAGAGCAGAGCCTGGCACATTGTAGGCACACCATCA